GGGGTGGTGTCCTGGCTGCTGGGATTGGTCCCCCTGGGGTTTGGGGGGAGGGGAGGGTGATAGCGTTCGCTGTGATTGGTGGGGGGCAGGTGTGCTGTGCTGTGATTGGTTGGTGCCTTGTTTTTTTTTCCCCCCTCTCCGCCCCCTGCCTTGTGATTGGTGGGAGCCTTTTTCTCCCCTCTCTCCCCCTGCCCTGTGATTGGTGGGAGGCAGGTGTGCTCTGCTGTGATTGGTGGGAGTCCTGTTGTCCCCCTCTCTCCCCTGCCCTGTGATTGGTGGGAGGTGGGTGTGCTCTGCTCTGATTGGTGGGAGTCCTGTGTTCAGCTCTCTCCCCCTGCCCTGTGATTGGTGGGAGGCAGGTGTGCTCTGCTGTGATTGGTGGGAGTCCTGTGTTCAGCTCTCTCCCCCTGCCCTGTGATTGGTGGGAGGCAGATGTGCTTGGCTGTGCTTGGTAGGAGGCAGGCATGCTTGGCTGTGATTGGTGGAAGGCAAGCATGCTCTGCTGTGATTGGCGGCAGCCTTGTCCCCTGGGCTGTGATTGGTGGGAAGCCTGGGGATGCGGGCGGCCGTGCTGCAGGCAGGGGTGCACAGGCAACCCGCCCCGCTCTAATTAACACCTGTACTAAACGAGACCCCCTTAATTGCCCCCGCCCTGCCGCAGGGTGCCCCCGCAGCCTGCCCGCCTCCCCGGGGGCAGCCCAGCGCCCGCCGCCGGCCGCCCGCTCCTCCGACTGCCTGCACCCCGGGGCGGGCGGCCGCATCCTGCTGCTGCTCTGCAACACGGCGGGCGACGGCCCCCGCCTGGCCAGGTACCCGCCTGTGCCCCCCCACCCGCCTGCCCCCCAAGGGACGGGGCGTGGGGAGCCCCCCTCAGCCCGCTGTCCCCTCTGTCCCCAGGTTTGGGCCACCGCTGGTGCTGCGGGAGGAGCGGGGCGTCTCCTGGGAGCAGCTCCAGCAGAGCATCCTGGCCCAGCTGCGGGCTCTGCTGCGGGGAGAGGTGCGGGCGCAGGTGAGCTGGTGGGGGGGAGACGCCACTGTCTTCTCCTGGGATCTCCAGTTCAGCCAGGGCTGCTGGAACCATGGCCATGGAGGGGATGAAGCCATGGTGTCTCCATGGGTGGCCATGGTGTCTCCATGGATGGCCTTGATAGGGCCATGGTGTCTCCATGGGTGGCCATGGTGGATCCATGGATGGCCTTGATAGGGCCATGGTATCTCCATGGGTGGCCATGGTGTCTCCATGGATGGCCTTGATAGGGCCATGGTGTCTCCATGGGTGGCCATGGTGGATCCATGGATGGCCTTGATAGGGCCATGGTATCTCCATGGGTGGCCATGGTGTCTCCATGGATGGCCTTGATAGGGCCATGGTGTCTCCATGGGTGGCCATGGTGGATCCATGGATGGCCTTGATAGGGCCATGGTATCTCCATGGGTGGCCATGGTGGATCCATGGATGGCCTTGATGGGGTCATGGTATCTCCATGGGTGGCCATGGTGGATCCATGGATGGCCTTGATGGGGTCATGGTATCTCCATTGGTGGCCATGGCATCTCCATGGGTGGTCATGGTGGAGCCGTGAGTGGCCATGGTGTAACCATAGGTGGCTGTAGTGTCTCCATGGATGGCCATGGTGAAGCCATGGGAGGCCACAGTGTCCCTCTGGGTGGTCATAGCAGCCCTGTGGGTGATCATGGTGTCACTGTGGGTGACTGCAAGTGCTACCCAGCTCCCACAGCAGAGCCACCCCAGCCCAACCACCCTCCCCAGCGCCCAGGTGCCACCATCCCAGGGGCGCTGGTGTCCCTGAGCCATCTCTTTGCCCCCCAGCCACACCGCAGCCAGCAGAACAGGTCCTCCCCCATGCCCTCATCCCCATCCCCACGGGTGTCCCCTGGAAGCCTGGCCATCGGGACCAAAGAAATCTGATTTTTGGGGTGTTTTTTCTCCTGTGTCACAAAACACATCTCCCCCCGGGTGGCATCAGAGGGAAGGGGGGGCTCTGCCCCCCACCAGCCAGACAGCCCCCTCTCCCCTTGCAGGGCACGGGAGCCCTTTTCCGCATCCGCCTGGCGGGGGGCTCAGCCCCCTGCACCTACCTGTCCCCGCAGGACCCCCGCCCGCTCTGCCACCCCGCCGTCGACAGGTAAGAACACCCGTGGGGAGGGGATTGTCCCCAGAATGTCCCCTCATTCCCTGGGGGTGGCCAGTGGTGTCCCCATGGATGGCCAGTGTCCCCGTGGGTGGCCAAAGTGTCCCTTTGGGTGGTTGTGTTGGTACCGTGGTTGCCCAGAGGTGCTCCTGTGGTTGGCCACAGCGTCCCCATGGGTGGCCACAGTGTCCCCATGGGTGGCCATGGTGTCCCTCTGTGTGGTTGTGTTGGTACCGTGGTTGCCCAACAGTGTCCCTGTGGTTGGCCACAGTGTCACCACAGGTGGCCACAGTGTCCACATGGGTGACATGATGTCCCTGTGGGTGGTTGTGTTGATGCTGTGCTTGCCCAAAAGTGTCCCTGTGGTTGGCCACGGTGTCCCCATGGGTGGCCACAGTGTCCCTGTGGGTGGTCATGGTGTCCCTGTGGGTGGTTGTGTTGGTACCGTGGTTGCCCAACAGTGTCCCTGTGGTTGGCCACAGTGTCACCACAGGTGGCCACCCTGCTCACTAGGGACTGGGTCCCCAGCTCCACATCCCAACCATGGGTGCTGTCAGGGAGGTGGTGGCCATCCCTGCCTGCCACCATGGGCTAGTCAGGAGGTGGCCCCACAGGGATGGGGGGTTCTGGGGGTCACCTCACCTCGTCCTCACCCCCAGGGCGCTGCAGCTGAGCGAGACGGGTGGCCCTCCCCACGTCAAGCTGACGGTGGAGTGGGACATGAGCACCAAAGAGCGGTGAGTCCCCTGCACCCAGGGACACCCCAGCACCCAGCTCACCCTCCCTGACCCCCAACCCGGTGACACGTGTCGTCGTGTGTGTGTGTGTGTGTGTCCCCAACACTGTCCCACGCAGCCTTTTCGGGGACATCCAGGAGGAGGTGGTGCAGGACGCGGAGAGCGTGCGGCTGCAGCAGCAGGCACATCGACAGCAGCACAGCTGCACCCTGGACGAGTGCTTCCAGCTCTACACCAAGGAGGAGCAGGTACCCCCAGCCCTGCCCTCTCCCTGCCCTCTCCCTGCCCTCTCCCTGCCCTCTCCCTGCCCTCACCCTGCCCATCTCCCTGCCCTCCCCCTGCCCTCCC